CATGACTCCTGCTCAAGGAGCAGATGGCAGTTGTGGCCAGGAGGGCCTTTGTCCACCTTAATGTGGTGTACCAGCTACTCCCCTTCCTGGATCAAAAGGCTGTCCCATCAGCTACTCTTGCCCTAGTCATCTCTCAGTTAGACTACTGCAATGACCTCTACATAGGGCTATGCTTGAAGAGTACCCAGAATGTACAGCTGGTTCAAAATGCAGCTGCACGAACAATCTTGGGTGGGTCAAGGATGGAACATATAACACCTCTGCTGCGGGAGCTGCATTGGGTTCCAGTTTGCTTCTGGGTCCAATTCAAGGTGTTGGTTATCACCTTTCAAGCCCTACATGGCATGGGACAAGGTTACTTGAGGTACTGTCTCACCCCCACTATATCAACCCATCCCACTCGGTCAGGCAGAGAGGGCATGTTGTGGACCCCATCAGTGAGAGAATGTTGGCTGGCAGGGCCCAGGAGAAGAGTCTTCTCTGCCGTTGCCTCTGCCCTTTGGCATATTCTCTCCTCAGAGGTGTGGCGGGCCCCTACCCTCTGGATTTTCCGGAACAGACTTAAGACCTGGCTCTGTCAGCTTTCATGGGGTGACAAGAGTTGTAATTGATCCTGGGGGGGCTGGTGCCCTGATGACACTCCCCGAGCTGTTCACCAATTTTATCATACCTTGGAATTTATTCATTAATTATTTAAGATAGTTTAATATTGTATTTTAATGGATTTGATCTCCCCTGTAAACTGCCCAGAGTTGCTTTTTGGCAAGATGGGCAGTGACAAATTTGATACATAAATAAATATATAAATTTAAAAACTCATAGAAAATGAAGAGGCTAAAGTGCTCTGGGACTTTAGAATTCAAACAGACAAGCACCTGGCACACAACACCCCAGACCTAACAACTGTTGATAAGAAAGACCAAAAGTCTGGATAGTGGACATTACAATACCTGGAGAAAGCAGAATAGAAGAGAAAGAAGTGGAGAAAATCACAAAATACAAAGACCTACAAATAGCAGTAGAATGACTATGGCAAAAGAAAGCAAAGATAGTACCAATAGTAATAGGTGTCTTAGATGCAATCCCAAAACATCTGGAGCACCCCTGGAAGACGACAAAGCCACCCTCAGTCAATTGCAAAAGGCAGCTTTACTTGGAATGGCTTACATGCTGTGATGATACCTTTAACACCATCATACAACAACATGTGGCTATCTCAGGTCCTTGGGAAGGTTTTGATAGGGGGATAAAAATGCCACTTCCAGTCTAAACATCTGGCTGACTGTGCGACCAACCATAATAATAAATTAAACTTTTATCTCAAGTCATGTGAGGTTGTATTGATTGAAATCATTACTTTAAATTGCACCCAGAAACTTCTTGTCAACAAGTGCAAAGCCTACAGAATTGTTATCACGTGGTGTTGAGCGCCTAACATGTAGACTGCAACACTCTGGAGCCGTTGAAGTTTCCAAACTTTCCAAAAGAAAGCCCCATGGAGAATAAATGGCAGAAGTCCAGATGAAATGACAATGAGGAGTAAGTCACTGTAGCCATCCACTCCATGTAGGGCCATAATTGGTGCACTAATCAGAGCTAGCCGAAGGACTTCCAGCCCACAGCCTCTACCTGACTTTTCAGCAGTAGCCATGAATCCAGGAGGTTACCCAAGTTGTGGACCTCCTCCCCCAGAATGAAAAACTAACATTTCATGGAAGACATGGTCATTTGTGACTTCACTCCTATCCACCAGCACTAGGCTTTACAGCCCACCAATACTAAGACATTATTAGAGACCCAAACTAACTCCATTTCTACCACTGTTGGCCCTATAGTATCTTTCATGCAATTCTGTCTAAACCCAGATTTTCCTACTGACATGTCATCAATGTGGTCATCCTTAACCTTCTTCTGAGACTTAGCCCACAAAGATAAAGAGGAGGATAATTATTTTATGTTTTGCTTTGTTTTTGCTATGCCATAGGAAGGAACTAAAAGTTGCAGCTTTCATTGTCTTCCCTGCAATTACCTGAACTATAATAATTACTACTTCTCAAACACAATTCCAACAGCTTTCCCAAAGTTAAAAGAAAAACAACTGGTGTGTAGGTTCAAACATGGTTATAAAACCCCTTCACTCCCTGCCATTCAGAGCTGGGCTAGCTGGGGAGAAGAGGCAGATGTGGCCGAATTGTTGAATGGTCCTGGAAGAGCTGGTTTAAATTGGATACGGTGCTGGTGATGAGATTGTTGATGGACATATGCACACTTAATCTGCACCCAGATGATGATATTAGAAGTCTTGTTTCTTCTTTTATCTCATATCGGAAACAATATAAATGCAAGGGACTGCTTTTCACCTGATCCCTTTCCTATCCCTCATGAATCATACCAGCCAGGTGACTTCCTCATAGGTGGGATTACTTCTCAGATGTGGTACTTTTTTCATGAAGTTTCCTTCCAGCAACAACCTTCACAGGACCTGGCCTTACAAGATCCCATGTAAGTAACTCTTAGACCTGATCTCAGAGCAACTCTATTCTCTTTTCCATGAAGGAAAACATTGTCTGGGCAACTATGTAAATTGCAAGATTTGGTAATATGCAAATGCAATGTATTCATTCATTCATTCATTCATTCATTCATTCATTCATTCATTCATGAATGAGACAGTTCAAAAACTTATTCTGACAAGTTCTAAGGATGAATGATAGGAAGTGGAGAGATGAGTAAATAATTAAGCTAAACTCTCTCTCTCTCATGTTTCTCCACTTACACCTCTAAGATATTATAATTGGAGTAACTAATGATTGGATTAACTATTTCCAAGATAACTCTTATTTGGTTCAGTCCCAGTCACTGAATCCATTCAATAACTCCATTCTTCTCCCCAGATGTTTTAGCACTCTATTAGGTACCCAAAGATATAGACATATATATGCATCATTTAGAGAGAATGGTGTTATAGTTAACTCTTTTGGGATAAGCTATGTTAGGCAAAATAGCTTCCCCCTGCAAAAAAAGTAAGAAAGCCAAAGAAATTAAAGATATGAAGGGGGAAAAAAAGGAAACTTACTTAAAGCAAGTTTATGCCAAGTGTAAATCAGTAGTTCATACCATTCACTATATTTCTGAATATATTTTTTATCCTTGCAAACCATTCTTACTTTTACTGCATTCCTACATTGCTTCATACATTCTTTACACTTCTCTCTTTGACACATTGTATGAGGAGAGCAGCGTTAGTACATGGTATCCAAAAATCAAAGGGAGACTGGTAATGTCTTGTCCAACTAACAAATTCTCCTAAAAGATATCAGCTTTCAGCAGGTGCAACTTACTACATCAGACTTAATGGATTGGCTAAACTGATGTAGGAATTAAATTGGGATGAGCTTTGTGAGAAGAGGAAGGAAAGACAGGCTGATTATGCTGATGCCAGTTCCATACAAGAGAAATTACAAGTACCTTACCAATTTATTTTTTTTTTAATGGGTGGGGGAGCCTTTGAGCCTGTGTTAACTCCTGGCAATTGCCTGGACTGGTTCCTGCAATTTTCTTGGTAGCATTTTCAGAAGTTTGTCCTTGCCTCCTTCTTCCTAGAGCTGAGAGACAGAGACCAGCACAAGGTGACCCATCTGGCTTCGTGCCTCAGGCAGGGCTAGAATTCTTGGTCTGCTGGTTTCTAGCCTGATGCCTTAACCACTACACCACTACAAATAATACTGACATCCTTATTATTTACATTCTCCACACTGATTTCAAAGATATATAACCTTTCATTAATCCACCTAAGTTCCTACTATTCTTTCTTGTCCTATATTTCTCTTTGGCTATCCCTCCTCTTCTTCTGACTATTTTTGCAGCTTGTCTCCATAACTCTTAATCAACAGCTCATGTTGTTTCTATTGATTTTTTGTTTCAAATTTTAGATGGCTTGTAGTAAGTAAAATGGATCCAGAGGCTGATAAAAGCAAAACAAAACAGTTACATGGGTTGTACAATCTGTACATAACTGTCTTTCAGCATAGTGACAAAGTTCTACCAACATGTCTTGGGCTTGGTGTTTGCAGTGAATGAGATCAACCAAAACCCCCAGATCTTGCCCAATGTCACACTTGGGTTCCACATCTATGACAGTTACTACAATGAGAAGATGACTTATCGGACCACACTGGACCTGCTCTTCAAATCCCATAGATTTATCCCCAACTATGCATGCAGCATCCAGAAGAATATCATGGCCATCATTGGTGGACTTGGCTCTGATATCTCCTTCCACATGTCTGACATCTTAACTCTTTATAAAATTCCACAGGTAAGATCTTGAAGGGCTTTTTTTTTTCGTACCTTCAAATCAGTCTTGACTCCTGGCAATTCCCTGAAGTGGTTTGCTATTGCTTGCTTCCTAGGGCTGAGAGTGAGTGACTGGCCCAAGGTCACCCAGCTTCGTGCCTAAGACAGGACTGGAATTCACAGTCCCCCCCGTTTCTAGTCTGAGACCTTAATCACTACACTAAACTGGCTCTCATGTCACTATGAAGGGCATACTGATATGATTATGAATTGATGGAGTAAAAACCCATTTAATTCATTCTTGGAACAACATTATAGTTTAGAAAAAGGGAAGGAAGATTTGACTGGCAATAAACTTTTGACTACATTTATTCAAAATGAAGCCTAGTTGCTGTGGTTGCTTAAAGGATTTTGATAATTAAAGAATAGGGAAGTGTGACAGAGTAATGGATTCTAACAGATTTCTTTACCGTGACTCTTTTTGCAGAAATTGTTTCATTTTTCCATAGACCAACATTGTTTACTTTGAATGAAAAATGGACATTCAAATCATGATGCGAGTCGCCATGTTCTAAAAAGGCAGTCACAAAGAGTGAAAGCAGCTTAACATGTTTCTCAAATATATGTTCATTTCCTTTTAGCTCACGTACGGTTCTTTTGCCTCTGAAAAAAACAACCCCACACGGTTCCCTTCCTTTTATCGCATGGTCTCAAATGAAGCCCATCAGTATATGGGGATTGTCCAGTTATTGAAGCATTTTGGATGGACCTGGGTTGGATTCATTGTTTTGAGAGATGAGAGTGGAGACCATTTCTTGCAGATTTTGGAACCTTTGCTTTTCCAGAATGGAATCTGTTCTGCCTTCATACAAAGAATCCCTAGCCAAGGTCGTTTGCTTTCTTTTACTGAAATCAATGAACTCTCCTCAAGTATTTATCAACCTTTCATGGACAGCAGAGCCAAAATATTTGTTGTGTATGGAGAAACTCTTACAGTTATGTGGCTGAGTTCTTTAATGTTTCAGCCAGATTCTTATTACCAGGAAAACACATCTGTTGGAAAATTGTGGATTGTGACTGCGCAGATTGATTTCACAATCATGGGCCTTGTAACAAGCTGGAATTCAGAAATATTCCAAGGGACCATGTCTTTTGAGGTTCCTTCAAATGAACCGCTAGGGTTTCAGACATACGTTCGGAGCCTAAAATGTTGCTGGGCACCAGAGGACCGTTTTCTAAAGGACTTTTGGGAGCAAGCCTTCAACTGTAAATTTTCAAATTCTGAAGGATCACTGGAGCAGTTGAAAATATGCACTGGGGAGGAGAAGTTGGAGACGCTTCCGAGTTCTGTTTTTGAAATGCAGATGACTGGCTACAGCTACAGTATCTTTAATGCTGTCTATGTCTTGGCACATGCTTTACATGCAATGTCTTCATTTAGGTCCCACCGCCAAGCATTGGTGAATGGGAAAAGACTTGCATGGCAAGATCTTCAACCTTGGCAGGTAATTTCTCCATAATGAAATAGCTTTATTATCAGGAACACACTTTTTGGTCAGTGAAATAGCCTTCAGATAAGAAGCTGCAATGGAACCATACTTATTATTCTCAGAGAAGACATACCATTTCCTCTGCCTACTTCCATTTGATGTATTTCTGTCCTTTTTAAGTAACAGCCAGAAAAGGAGATTTTCAGGATTAGCAGAGACAGAAATTTTCAACTCTTCCAGAAATACAGATGGCACCCACTCTCTTGGGGTTCCAGAAATCCCTTAAAACTTTACTGTGCTCCCAGGCCTGTAGTTGTGGGGGCCCTGTTGTGTTTTTATTACTGTGGTTGTTTATAGTCTGGGCTGTCTCATTTTGTTTTATGGTTTTAACTGTTTTAACCATGTATTGGATTTTGTAAGCCCCCAGAGTCTTCTGAAGTGGGCAGCCATAACCAATTTGATTAAATAATTAAATAAAGCAAGCAAGTACGGAGAAAACAAAATCTAGACCTGCCTGCTATAATGGGATACATGATCTCTCAACTAGTTTTTCTTTGGAGACTGAAACAAAGAATAGGTTGTAAATTTGCAACATCTGTGATTGCAATGTTACATTTGGTTCACCTTAGACTGGTGAGCATTAAAATAAAAGTGTGTAGCAGTAGGTCAACAAGGAGAACTGTAGCTTGTGTCAATTTTCACATTATGTGTTATATGTGGTACTGTAGCTATTATTCCTTTTCCTGACAGCTTCACCGGTTTCTTCAAGGCATTTCCTTTAACAACTCAGCTGGAGAACGAGTAACTTTTAATGATAGAATGGAGGTTGCAACTGGCCTTGATATAATGAAGATGGTCCTATTCCCAAACAACTCCTTCACTCAAGTGAAAGTTGGGAGGATAGATTCCGAGGAAAGGCAGACATTCAGCTTTTACCAAGATAAAAAGAGTTGGCAAAGGCATTTCAACCAGGTACACTTTCTCAATTTTAATTGGCCACTCATATTCTAAAACAGTATTTGATAAATCAGATATTTCTTCTGGCTTATTAACAGGCCCTGTATGGGTGATTATATTTTGAAGTGAAGAGAAGAACTTGCTTTACATGTCATGGTATACAATCATTGTACAAGGAGAACCAAGTTAGTCTAAGATTAGACAGATAGTGCAAGAGCTCAGAAGGTCTCAACAAACACAAGGGGTCTTTAAGATATTACAGTTGTTAATTGACAAAGTACTGGTAATCTAGTTTACATATAACCTGTGTCTGCATAACCAATCTGTCTTCCCATCCTTTCTGCCTGCCTCACTCCAATTTAAATCCTATATCAGTTCAGCCACTCTGTGCATCTGATGAAGTGAGCTACAGCTTATGAAAGGTTATGGTTTTTAATAAAATTTGTTAGTCAAAAAAGTGCTACCAGACTCCTTTTGACTTTTCAGCAAGCAATAATGTAGTTTGCAAAATCATGCCTAATGGCATACTTTGATGGATAATCCCAGGGAATTGTGACTTATTCAACAAACCCTGGGAGGCACCACCATGTTTTAGCACAATATTAGAGCCGGCTGTCCTCATGTACTGTATTCCCAAAATTAAGACATGTAATTTAGGAGACAACATCTAGAAGAGCTAATACAACACAAAAGCATTGTATCAAAGAGATGTCAAGTCACTCTTCCTTTCTACTTGGCACTGGTGAGACCACATTTGAAATATTGTGTGTGATTTTGGGTACCACATTTACAGAGGAATATTGACAAGTGAGAGATGGCTCACAGGGGAGCAATAAAAATGGTACAGGGATTTAAGAACATGCCATAGGAGGACAGGCTGAAGGAACTTGGGATGTTCTCTTTGAAGAAAAGAAGACTTAAGGGAGATATGATAGCTATGTACAGTACATAAAAGGAAACTACAGGAAAGATGGTCAAGAACTGTTTTTCATGACCACATCAACAAGGACCAGTGGTTCTTGGTTCAACAGTGGAACGGCTTATCTATGAAGACTGGGGTTCTCCATCTCTGGAGGCCTTTAAAAAGAGGCTGGACAGCCACCTCTCATGGATTGGGTTTTCTACACATTGCAGAAGATTGACAGATGTTCCTTTCCAACTATACAGTTCTACGATTTTATGGTACTTTGATTCTGATCTCAATCATGTTCTTTTTTCACAATAGTTCCATATGATATGATTTAGATGTAGCTTGATATATATTCACTCTGTGTCAGGTAAATTGTTGTAGAGCCTGAAAAAATCTTATTTATGAGCCAAAATGGTGATGTGGGTGACCAGATCTCTATCTCTGAAGCATTACTGGGGAGGCAAGTCCTTTTCTTGAACTTTCAAATTCTCCCCAACCAATCTCAAGAAATTCCTGACAGACTAGGTACATTCTCATCCATATTAAGCAATCAAGGCTTTCTTTTTTAATAGAGTATATGATGAAGAAAACCAGATTCTAAGTTTTTCTATCCTAAATTATTTTCACATTTATGGATAGGTTCTGCCCTTTTCTCTGTGTAGTGATCCTTGCCAGCCTGGTTACCAAAAGAAAAAGACAGAAGGGGAGAAATTCTGCTGCTATGATTGTGCTCCCTGCCCAGAAGGGAAGATTTCACACCAAAAAGGTAGGTAAGGTGGTACAATAAATATTCCAACATGCATTAATGCAAGTGAGCATATAGGAAATTTGTTACTATGTCAGTTAGCCAGGGGAATTTGGGCACATTTCCATATATTAGGAAAATCTGATTCCAAGTACAGTGATTTTCAGATGGTCATTGATTTCTCACTGGTGAGAAATCAACACAGAAAAAAATATTTATATGTTGGTACATGCATGTATTAATATATGTGATCTTAGGAGATCCTTCCCAAAATAATGTTATATGCATAGATATAGCTCCATCCTGCTATTCTCTCTTGGGTTAAGAAAGCAGATGAAATTAAAGGCAGAATAAGAAGAAACAAATCTGACTAAATCTATTTCACCTCAATACCGTTCATGGTACTTCTTCATGCATTTTTATTGGCAAACCATTCTTGCAACCACCAGGTCCATACACTACTTCATTCACTATCTTAAGTTTCTAAAATCCTTCGCTTTTTCAGAATCTCAGCAGAACAACCCAACCATAGTCCCAGTCTTCCCCTTCTTCTTGAGCTGTTCACTCTTCCTTTGTGCATTTCTTCTGTGATTTGTACTCCTCTCTATGATTAAACCATGCCAATATACTTCTTTCATATGGGTCACTCCCTTTTCTATTCAGTCCAGATTCATTCAGTACTTCCCTTCATGTTTGCCCCATGTACTTCTCATTGTAACTAACCCATTCCCACCAGATGCTACTTCCTTTTACGTTTCTTCTGACCTAACCAACTCTCACTTCTATGGAACAAAGTGGACAGAAGCCTACACTCACCCACAGCTATTTTCATTACTTTGGACAAAACTTCTCTTCAAAGGTTCAGTAACTTGGCTGGCCAAAAAGGAAAGACAAAACTCTAAAGGCACCAGATAAGAGTTAATCCTACTCTTGCTAAGGGTCGTGTTAAATAGTAACAGCATACAAAGAGGACACATTGGATAATACAACAGTGTTCAGCAGGGAGGCCTTGGGCCACACATGATCAGGATTGTAATTGCTTTGTTTCAATGTTTAGATATGGTTGACTGTTCCCCGTGCCCAGAAGATCAATATCCAAGCAAGAGGCAAGATCAATGTATTTTCAAGACGTTAAGCTTTCTGTCTTATAAAGAACCATTAGGAATGAGTTTAGCTTTGGTCACTGTTAGTCTATTCATAACTACAGCATTTGTCCTTAGAACCTTTGTTAAGCACCAAGACACTCCCATTGTCAAAGCCAACAACCGGGAACTAACATACACACTCCTTCTCTCTCTTCTCCTTTGCTTCCTTTCACCTTTACTGTTTTTTGAGCAGCCTAACAAGACAACTTGCTTTCTTTGCCAATCTGCTTTTGGCATCATTTTTGCTGTGGCTGTTTCCTGTGTATTAGCTAAAACCATCACCGTAGTTGTGGCTTTCATGGCCACCAAACCAGGGTCCAACATGAGGAAATGGTTGGGGAGAAAACTGGCCAGTTCCATTGTTATTTCCTGCTCTCTCGTTCAAGCAAGTATTTGTATGTGGTGGATGACAACCTCTTCCCCTTTCCCAAATTGGGACATGCAATCTCTCACCAGTGAAATCATAGCAGAATGTAATGTGGGATCTGCTGTCCTCTTCTATCTTGTCCTGGGCTACTTGGGATTTCTAGCCATGATTAGTTTTATGGTGGCTTTTTTTGCCAGGAAGTTGCCAGATGCCTTCAATGAAGCCAAATTTATCACTTTCAGCATGCTGATGTTTTGTAGTGTTTGGTTGTCTTTTGTCCCCACTTATCTGAGCACAAAAGGGAAGTACATGGTGGCTGTGGAGATCTTCTCCATCTTAGCTTCCAGCGGTGGATTGCTGTGTTGTATCTTTTTCCCCAAATGCTACATTATTCTGTTGAGACCTCAGTTAAACAACAGAGAACAGTTAAAAAGAAATAATTAAGGAAGGTTTATGCATTCTTTGTGTGATATCCATGCATGCATGGATGTGTGTATATGTGTGGATGTATGTATTTAATTTGTTACTTCGTACAACAGCTTATATGGTACCTCAACCCTCAGAATCACCAGCTGGTAGGGCTCCCTTCCAATCACTCCCTGTCAATTCCTCTTCTGGCTCTTACCCAGAGGAAGGAAAAACATCCAGTCACAACCAGGAGATGGAGCCGGGTCATATTCCTCCTTTCTTCTTTCCTTTCTTCCTTCCTATATAGGGCTATCCTGGAGGGAGATAGAGTGGTCTAATTAGTGTGGTGGCCTTGCATATGACATCAAAGTTTGATTCTAGAATTCTTATAAAGATTCTGCATAAGCAACAGTAACTGTCCATCTGTGGTAGTATTCATAAGCTTAGTCTATAGTCTCGTTCTGGGACCTAGATTCTATTCTACTACTCCATTAGCAATAAGGAAGATGCCAGAAATTCAAGTGGTTCTTGTTTCCTGTGTGTGTGTCAGCCTTGAAGGGCTTGACAGCAGTTCACCAAGTCTAATTAAAACATTAAAAAATGTCTAATTAAACAAGCCAATAACAGCTGCATAATAACCATTGAAGTACAATATCCTCTATTAGTCCATTACTATTAGGACCAGGGAGCCTCACATAGATGACACATCTCTGGGACCCCTTCTGTGAGATCTCCCATGAGGGCAGAACTCACAATTTGTTTTTATGCTGGAAAGTATTGGGTAGGCAGGTTCTACCCAGAGTAGGGTAAGGTTAGGGTTTGGGTTAGGGTTAGAGTTAGGGTCTCATTCATGCCCAGGTCCCATACCATAGGTTAACATCAAGAGATGTCAGTATCTCAAATATTTTTGTCTCCCAAGCAAGCAGAAGTAATTAATGGGCTGATGCACAATTCAGCATAGACAGAATCTTTTCTCCCAAATACTACATTATTGTGCTGAGGCCTGAAATGAACAAAAAAGAGCATCTAAGTAGGAATATGACCTTGTGGAAGACATACAGGAACTTTAACCTAAGCAAGGCAGGGAAAGTAAGCAAGGTGGGATTAGAGACTCCGAGACCAGACCCTGACTGCTAAGCACAAGGATGTAGCAGAATCTTTGTCAGTTGAATAAAACTGTGACAATTTCTCTGAACTTCTGCCTAAAATCTCTTTATTTCTTGATAGCACTGCAGTTTTTTAAAATGGAAACTTCCACTCTAACCATGTTTCCCTTTGGATGCATAAATTGTTATTTGAGTGTAGAACTCAAGCTCCTCCTCTTTTGTATATGCACGGGACACCATGATGCCCATCAAAAGGGGTGGGGCTTGCTTTGAGAGAGAAATGCTGTGTTCCTTCAGATTGACTGCCGGATGTCGCTGCACATTAGGATTGGTACAAACCATAGTTTCCTCAAGCCATGTCTGGAAATGTCCTTATAAATTACCCAGAATGCTGCAGGTGAACAGGTGGCTACGGTTACCTTGTTTTGACAACTTGCTTAACAGGACAATAGTACGGGAACCAGAATGATTCTACTTCACCATGAATGTACGTACATGAAAGGACTTGGTTTTGTAGAGTATATATGTGTGTATGTGTGTGTGTGCATACACGCACACAAATATGTACAGGTAGTCTTTGCTTACTGACTGCTTCATTTAATGTGCATCTGAAGTAATGATGGTGTAAAAAAAACAGCTTTGCAACCAATCCTTACATTTACAACCATCGCAGTGTCCTGCAGTCATGTGATCACCATTTGTGTGCTTTGCAGTTGGCTTGCAACAGGCAGAGTTGATAGAAAAGGCGGAAGTAAAATTGTAAGTTGCAACCACTTGATGTTTTGCTTAGTGACCATGGCACTTAGCTGTTGTGGTTGCTAAATGAGGACTACCTGTGTGTGTGTGTGTGTACATATATATGTGTGTGTGTGTATGTGTATACACATACACACACATACATATACATACATACACATTTTAAAGGATAACTATAACAAGTTGGGTGTCTAATGCATTTAAATCAAGTATATATATAGATCCCAGGAACAATATCAGAGGAGTGCAGTGCTAGGAACAGCTCAGATACTGTGCAGAACCCTCAAACT